ATTTTCATATCTTAACTTTGATACTCAACACCTTGTTTAGCTATGCAAACTTACATTTTTAGTTATTAGTTTCTTTAGTAAATAGTTTTGAGGTTATGCAATATTTAGTCCTGCATCTTTTGTCTGTCCTCACCAGTCCGACAAAGAAAAGAACATGCTTCAAATCACAGACACTGGTATTGGCATGACCAAAGAAGAACTGGTGAAGAACCTCGGTACCATCGCCAAATCTGGAACCAGCGAGTTCCTCAACAAGATGACTGATATGCAAGAGGAGGGTCAATCCACCTCTGAGCTGATTGGTCAGTTTGGTGTGGGCTTCTACTCTGCCTTCCTTGTGGCTGATAAGGTCATCGTCACCTCCAAGCACAACAACGACACCCAGCACATCTGGGAATCTGATTCCAACGAGTTTTCAGTCATCAACGACCCTCGTGGAGACACTCTGGGCAGAGGCACCACCATTACGTAAGCAGTTAAACTTAAAAATTCACACACAAAAAAATTGTGCAGATTGTGACATTTTGTAAGTAAAGTAGTCTTGTTTCATCAGGCTGGTGATGAAAGAGGAGGCTTCAGACTACCTTGAGCTGGAGACCATTAAGAACTTGGTGAGGAAGTACTCTCAGTTCATCAACTTCCCCATCTACGTATGGAGCAGCAAGGTCAGTGTCTCCACCAAAGACTCCAGACTTTCTGGTTTGAAGTTCACCAATAGCTGGAGGACATCATGAACTTATCGATTTGTCATTTCCAGACCGAGACCGTAGAGGAGCCCATTGAGGAGGAGGAGGCTGAGAAGGAAGAGGCTGCTGAAGATGAAGCTGAGGTTGAGGAAGAGGATGAGGACAAGGACAAACCAAAGACTAAGAAGGTACTGTATTTAGCTGCATATATGCAATGCAAATAAACATCAGTAGAAGTTATTTTATGGATTTTTCTCAATGATTTGAACGATTCCTCACTACTTTCAGGTGGAGAAGACCGTGTGGGACTGGGAGCTGATGAATGACATTAAACCCATCTGGCAGAGGCCTGCAAAGGAAGTGGAGGAGGACGAATACAAAGCCTTCTACAAGACCTTCTCCAGGGTGAGTCAACCTGTGCTTTACACACAAAAAAAATCAACTCTTATGATCCTTTGTGGCTTCTTGGATCAGTTCAAGTGCAATCATTTTTCATTTTCAGGACTCTGATGAGCCCATATCTCACATTCACTTCACTGCTGAAGGAGAGGTCACCTTCAAGTCCATCCTCTTTATCCCTGCATCTGCACCCAGAGGCCTTTTCGATGAATATGGAACCAAGAAAAATGACTTCATCAAGGTAATTTTGATGATCATTAAGTGGGAAAAGAACGCATTCTCTTATGTTGTATTTGAGTTATTAATTGTACCCAATTTGGTTCTTTTAGCTATTTGTGCGTAGAGTCTTCATCACCGATGACTTCCATGACATGATGCCCAAGTACCTCAACTTCATCAAAGGCGTTGTAAGTCCTTCTGTCTGTCTATTTTTAAGTGTAGCCAGTAAAATATTTAGGATGCATTGACATTTGTGTGACCTAAGAACATTTACAATCCTAATTCTGCACATACAGCATGTGGCATATTTAAATTTCTTAGTGTAATGCATGTTTGCGTTGCATTTCCCTAAAAGTGATAGCCCTCCTGTGTATTGGCTCATTGGTAAAGGGCATTTCCATTCTTGAATAGATTGCATGCATGCACTTATTTAATACAGGGTACAACTAATGTTATTTGCCAAAATAGGTTTGTTACATTTTTGTTTTTTGCATAAAAATAGTGTTTGGAGTTAACTATTTCTAAAGTCATTATTTAATACTTTAACCCAGGGAATAATCGGTGTTATTATAATAAAATTGGATAGTTTTTTTTTAGTTTTGGCCAATAATTTTTGCTGCATCATTATAATGAATGTTTGGTGACTCGATGTTTGTTCTCATTTCTCAGGTGGACTCCGATGATCTGCCTCTGAATGTGTCCAGAGAGACTCTGCAGCAACACAAACTGCTCAAGGTGAGCTCATCTTACAGATCAAAGTAACATTGATTTGATGGTTTATGTACAATTAAATGATGCAGTGAACTTACTGTACAAGCAATTAAATTACTTTCAACACTCGCATTGGTGCCTCCGCTCATCAGGTCATCCGTAAGAAGCTGGTGCGCAAGACCCTGGACATGATCAAGAAGATCGCTGAGGAGCAGTACAATGACAAGTTCTGGAAGGAGTTTGGCACCAACATTAAGCTGGGCGTGATTGAGGATCACTCCAACAGAACCCGCCTGGCCAAGCTGCTCCGCTTCCAGACCTCCCACCACGAAACCACACCGTCTAGTCTGGAGCAGTACGTGGAACGGATGAAGGAGAAGCAAGACAAGATCTACTTCGTGGCTGGAACCAGCAGGAAGGAGGTGCTTAAATGTTTTTACTCTGAACTGAACTGCTTACGAAGATACCCCATTTCTCTATTTCCATATTAACATGTAATCTTTCTGGTTTTAGGCTGAGTCTTCTCCATTCGTGGAGAGGCTTCTTAAGAAAGGATATGAGGTCATCTACCTGACTGAGCCAGTGGATGAGTACTGCATCCAGGCTCTGCCTGAGTTTGACGGAAAACGCTTCCAGAATGTGGCAAAGGAAGGCGTGAAATTCGACGAGAGCGACAAGGCCAAGGAGAAGAGAGAAGCTTTGGAGAAAGAGTTTGAACCCCTTACCACCTGGATGAAAGAGAAGTCCCTGAAAGACAACGTATGATTATTTTCTGTGGTTTATTCTGTTGTATTGCATATTATAAACTGACTGACTTTTTAGAAGTGGCAGTTCAATTGAAACAAGTTTGTCCCTGTGTCATGTTTCAGATCGAGAAGGCCGTTTTGTCTCAGAGGCTGACCAATTCTCCCTGTGCTCTGGTTGCCAGTCAGTATGGATGGTCTGGCAACATGGAACGGATCATGAAAGCCCAGGCTTACCAGACAGGAAAAGACATTTCCACAAAGTACGTCCTCTAAGCAAGTCTTAAATATCTTTGTGCATTTGCAAATTCTAGTTGCAATCACCTTAGCAACTGCATAGGAAAGACCTGGCAACATCTTTAGGGTATAGTCAGAGTCAAATTTGTTTGCGAAATGTTGCTAGCAAAAAAAGTCCAATTGTCTATTGTCATACCGACTTGAACCCGCTGCAAAATCTGCATGTGGAAATTTTTCAATCTTGCATGAAGTCCAAAGGTGTGGATTCCAATTGAAATGACTGGATTTTCTTAGCAAAATTTTGCGAACTCCGATAAATGTGGCCGCACCATCAATTCAAAATCGAACTTAACTCTGTTATTGATCTGAACTGAACCAACACTGAACACTTGAGCCAAATGATGGCATTACTGTCTTTTAAAGCTGCTTTACTGTACAATTGAATTGTCTCAGTAGTTGAGTTTCTATAATTGATTCTGCTAGTTTCCTGTTTATCACTGTTAACGTTGCTTTAACACAATTGTATAAAGTGCTATAAAAATAACAGTCTTGACTTGGCACCTTTAGAATTGTGGTGACAGTGCAGCCCACCACTTCCTGCTATGTGAAAAGGAAAAAAAGGCTAATATTCTGCAAACTATGGTCATGAAAACCAAGTTAAGCTTTTTTTTCACATTCTAGTTATTACGCAAGTCAAAAGAAGACATTAGAAATCAACCCCAAACATCCTCTCATCAAGGAGATGTTGAAGAGAGTTAAAGTAAGTCAAACATAGCTCTGATTAAGTTAATTTAAAATTTTGCTGTTAAAAGAGTTCAGATTTTCTGATATATTGTGCTTTTGTGTTGTAGGAAGATGCCGAGGATCAGACAGCTGCAGATTTAGCCGTGGTGCTCTTTGAAACTGCCACACTGCGATCCGGCTACCAACTCGCAGACACCAAAGCATACGGAGACAGAATAGAGCGTATGCTGCGGCTCAGCATGAACGTAGACCTCAATGAACAGGTACACACAAAGTTGAGCACCGCTAATAAGAAATAGTTGTTCAAATGAAGTGTGGCTCAATATCCTTTTGCTGTGTCCACAGGTAGAGGAAGAGCCAGAAGAGGAACCAGAAGAACAGACAGAAGAAGCAGAGGATGAGGAGGAGGTCCAGGCAGATGAAGAGGTAGAAGAAGAATCGGTGAGTGTGGAAACGTTCACTTACTCACCCTCATGTTGTTCCAAATCCATATTTAATTCATGAAATTCAGAATCTAAGAGGTTTGAAACAACATGATGGGTGAACTGCTATTTTAACAGTTCCTTCTGTCTTAATGTGTCTTAACACATGGATTTCTCTGTGTTTCAGGATAGCACAGGCAAAGACGAGTTGTAAAGTGTAAATCTGGGAGGGACAGGGTGTCGGACTGTGATGCAGAGTGAAGATGGCAATCTCAGCTGGTTCTCTTTTCTCTGTGTGGGTGGGTTAAGGGAATAGGAGCTGTTTTTTTTAAGGCGCTGAGATAGTGTTTGAAATTTTTTTTTTTTTTTTTACATTCCTCCATGATTGTAAATTTGTTAATATTTAACTGACCCAGTTGTGGAGTGCTGACTCCTGTCCACTGAACAATTAAATGTTTCCGGAAAAGGACCTTGTGTGTAATTGTGTGTCTTTTACCATGTGTCTCCTTGTTTTACTCAATCTTACAAACTCTGCAAAAAAACTGGATTCCAGTTTGGGTGTTTTTAGTTGTTTTTTTATTTATTTATTTATTTTAAAGCTGCAGTCTGTAATTTTTTTTTTTGTGTTCAAAATTTATATATTATGCGATTTACACCATGAATCCATTTTCCAAACCGTGTTTTTGGCTTGTGCCGAATCACTACGGTACACCTATAATAAGTGTTTATTCTGACTATTTAGACTGGTTCGGGTAGGTAACGCTGCGGAGTAGCCCAGTACCTGCGTGATTTGTCATAGACATAAACCGAGAAGTAGCTCCGGCTACAATGTTCTTCCGCAAGACGCATGCAGTTCTGTTTATTAACCGCTAGAGCGCCAAAAGTTACGGACTGCAGCTTTAATAGCCTCAGCACTTTTGAATATTGTTCATGGTCGTACCAGGGTGAATTTTCCTGTGGGGTCTGGGATAAACCATTTCTCCCAGATGTCCAGATGGACGCAGGGGTAGTTCCAGGGCTTGAAATGGCCGTTCCAGTGCAGTAAGCGTGCATCTTTGAGAAAGGATCTGGGATAATGGCTATCAGGACTCCAGCCTTCATAGAACACAAGAAGAGAGCATTTAATTTGTTGATTTGCTTTACTGCTAACTTAAATTCACAAATCTTCACATTTACTTTTAATAGAGACATTGTGATGTTCAAGAGGAGAGCTGACCTTTGACTCCTACAGTCTTAAGGACTCATTCTTGTTAAAAACAAACCAAACATCTCAGGTTAATTATGTAGAGGTTTATGAAAAATTTAATTGATATTTAGGGAATATGCTTTTGATACATGATATTCAAATATATTTTAAAATACAACTTATTCCTGTGATGGCAAAGCTGAATTTTCAGAATTTCCTTTTGAATGGTAGTGTATGTTATAATAAATACACTTTAATAACTCTGGTAAATACTTGTGTATACTCTTCAATAACAGCTGTGCATGCTGTGGGTGTATGTGTGTATATATATATATATATATATATACACAGTATATATATATAGCCTATATATGGCAATGTTTCAAATTAGAACTTAAGTACAGATATTTTCATCATAAATATGGCATAATACATATATTTTCAGACCAAGTACTTCCAATTAGAAAGACTGAAGAACGCTTTTAAGTAATTATTCGGTGACATTTCGAAACAAATGGTACAATCAGTTACCCAGGTGTCTGACGTGCCACATTGGATCAATGGTTGTGTATTTATCATGAAAAACGATCAGCATTGGGGGGGTGGCCACACCGCCTGCCATGGCACTGCTGTACAGATTCTCCCTACATTGACATAAAAAAATAAATTATTAAATCTGAACTAATTTGATCTCATAAAAACTCAATATGAACCAATATACTGTATCACCTGACATTCTTAGCCATCCATTTCTCCAGCTGTTTAGTTATTTTTTGCCTTTTCCATTCACCAATGTCTGCTACAAAAACACCTGGATTAAAGGAGCAGTCGCTTGGGTTGATGCCCAGCTCTCTGACTTCCTCTTTGCGGTAGTCCAGAAAGCCCATATAAGTTGTCTGTGGGATGAAATGGAAATCAACCCATATAATAGTAACAAAAGTGATAAATTTAAACCATATTCAAAATACTAATACATTCATCCATAAATACCCACCTGCATTCCCACACTGCGCACCATCTCATGTGTGGGGGGCAGATCACAGTCTGAAGCGAACGCAGCAGCGTGTCCCGCTTTCAGCTTTATGTTATACAGTTCCTGTATATCTCCTGTCAGTCAGATGTAACAAAACTCATTCATTAGCACAGTGAATAGAGCAGTGAAGAGGTTTCATTTCATGCACTTGACATATGAGATCATGCTCGCATGATTAACTTGATGATGAAAGCTTTTGTATCAGTGCAACACGAGTACAAGTGTAAGGTTAGTATCAATTTCAGATGCTTACACACATAATAATGGATTTCACCTTGCACTATGACATCATCATCCAGGTAAACGATCCGCTCGTGATTTTCAATGCCAAGAAGTGGCAAGTAGAACCTCACAAAGTTAAGCTGCAACACAAAAGAAACCAGGATTAAGAAACAATTAGTGTGTAGAAGCCTTCAACATTTAAAACAAGAGTCTAAGAAGGGGGTGTTCACATACTGTACATTTGGTCACTTTTTAGAAATAATGAAGAGTTTAGAGTAGCACAGCATAACCCAGCAGAACTCACAGGGTGCAGCAGCTCTGGTCTGGATGAATCCGGATTGACTTTCCCCTTCAATACCATCGGATTAAACTCCAGGATCTTGTATTTGATTTTTCTCAGCTTGGTCTTCTCTATGTATTCCCTGTTTGAGTCCAGAAACAAAATGAGGCATATGGGAGGATATTTATTGACTGAGCATGTTTCTCATTTCTCTTTCACACATGTAAAGGGTGGATTGATAGGTCTGATTCACATATTATGTACATTTGTTAACTAAAGCTAAATTATTAAAAACATTTTTGTTCATTGAAATATAGCTGGAACAAAACAAATATAAATATTAGATGAAAAACCTGAAATTTTGACAGTTTGAAAATTATGAAATGTTGCCTTGGCAACTGGAAATTAATAAAAAAATAACTTAACTAAAACTAAAACTTAAATAAAAATAAATGAAACCTAAATAATAATATTACTACTAATAAAAAACGAATAAATTACAAAAGTACACACATTTACTAAAAATTAAACAAATTAAATAAAAATAAAAGCCAACAAAACTAGGTTTCACAAGATGTGCATTATGTTAATCGGCACTTATAATATTTTATTGATATTTATTTCTATTAATATTTAATAAAAACAATTTTAAATATAATTAAACTTCATATTATTACATTAAACTATATACAATATATAAATTTACTATACATAAAATGCTCACTATATAGTTTATTTTGTACTGTAACAAGAAAAATGTAGCGAGCATTTTATATAACTGCAGTGCTACTTGACTGCAAAAGGAAGAAACTTAAATGCAAATAAAATTCAACTAACCATAATAAATGCAAATAAATCTATTTATCTACTTTCAAAAGGGAAGAGAAAATGATTTCCATGGCTTTTGTTGTTGTTGTCAAAGGTTAAACGTCCAATTAAACACTACAGTATTTTGACAAATAATGGTTTATGGCAATACTACTTTCAGTGTTTCGATTTCAAGAATATTTTTAGTGACTACTTAATGTGTTGGGTGCAACCAAGTGCCATTGGCAGGTGTTACATTTGCGTTAGACCTTATCTTCTTGATGGCATCTCGCAGTGTAACTATGTAGAAGAAAATGCTCGCACGGCTGTTGCTGTAGACGCTGTTGATGGTTGCGATGGCAGCACCAATACGCTCCTCTGAAGCACAGATGACCACAGGGATGTCAGTGTCTGTCGCTTTCTCGTCCTCCACACCTGTTTTTGCCCCATCTTTCTCGAGTACTGCATAAACCGCAATAAGATCAATATAATAAACTGAGTACACGCATAGCCTATACTTGCATATCAGCACTCTGCATGTGTACCTGAATACTTGGGCAGTGTCTGTAGTCTGGTCTTTTTGTAAAGAAGAGCAAAAGCCACCAGGATGAGCAGAATGAGGAGCCCACGGTTGACTGGCAGAGAGAGAGAGAGCGAGAGAGAGAGAGACTAATCACTAGACTATACAAAATTCTGCACTGTGTGTTGCATATAGTATATGAAATAAAAGGATGACCGCTAGAGGTCACTGTATAACTATGTATGAGGGATGAGATAAAAATACTATTTCAGTCTTTCTACTTCAAAGTTTCAGGTTCAAATCAATGTGTTACTTGATGTTTCTTTGTAATTATTTGTGAAATTTACTAGCAATTTCTGAACGAAAATTGTTTTATCACCCTTTTTTCAGCTGTATTGCTATTGTTTAAAAAACTAAAGACAAAACTATTAAAAATCAAGACAAAACTATTAAAAATAATTTTTGGTAATTTAAATAAAGCTGAAATTGAATAAAATATACAGATTAGATGAAAAGTTAAAATTTAGGGGAAAAAAACCTAAACTGAAATATTAGAAATCCTGCCTTTACTGTAAAATGTATTTTTTTAAAGCCTGAAAATAAAACAAAGCTTATTGGAGTACATTTTACACGTGAACACTATTTCAGTCTTTCTACTTGTGTGATACTTGCCGTTTCTTTGTAATTAAGCGTAAAATTAACTAGCAATTTTTTATTTTTTTTTGTAGTGTAATTTTTTTAAGTATCCTACCACAATTATTAAAACTAAAACTGAAATAAAAGTAAATTAAATCTATATGGGAATATTTTAAAAGAACAAAATGACAACAAGAACTAAAAACTTAAACTAAAATTAAAATAAACACTGAAAATATAACAATAAAAGCTAATTTAAAATATGAATAAATACTATTATATTATTTATTCATATTTTAAATTAGCTTTTATTGTTAGGCTATATTTTCAGTGTTTATTTTAATTTTATAATAGTATATACACTGAAAAAAATGTTTCATTCATCCAATTAAAATAAATTAGGGTAATGATTCACATCTATATTTTTTAACTTGAGCCAATGAAAAATAAATAACTTGTTCTAAGGCCTTGCCCATTACCCTACATTTTTTTAATTGGATGAATGAAACATTTTTTTCAGTGTAAATAATACTAATAGTATATATATATATATATAATATTTATTTATTTATTTAGTCATTTAGCAGACGCTTTTATCCAAAG